AGTGTTTTACAGAAATGTGATAGCTGGAAAGTAAGGACTCAGGCTGAAATAAAAGCTGGGGCCTAAATCCACATCAAGTAAGTATTTCCACACTTACAGACCATGCAATGCAGTGCACAGCTGCTCTGGCCTGCTTGCTGCTTCAGAAGGCCCGGGTCTGTAACAAACCTATTTATCTGGACTTTTTTCATTATAACTTTACATCTAAATGACTCCTAATTACCAAACTATAGTGGAGGCAATGTTCCTTCTGGTTATATTCTAACTTGCCTCCCCATATGCTCCTGGGGTTACACAGAGCAGGCTGCCACGGACTATTCAGGCCTCTCTACTGAAGCTTTTGTACTTCAACGTCATATTTCACAAAAGACCTCAGTACAACTTTCTATTTGACTGAATACCCAGAACAGGAGTGGGGTGGGGTGGACGGGGAGGGGGGAGGTGGGGAGACAGTCTAAGCGTGGTTAACTCTGCATGTAGCAGGTGTTCTGAGAAGGGTCAAGGGAACAAGGAAGAACATTCATACCATGTTAAGATATGAAGTTAATATATGCATCTGAATATATTCTTTAAAATTAAAAACAGTGGGTCAAAGTTACGTGTCCAGAGATATTCATCACCTTACCTTCACCAGATCGAGAGTGATCAATCAGTAAAGGAAGGAAGCCCTAGGGGCTTATAGACCTCACTGTGCAGTGCCCTCCCACGGGAGACTGGCAGTCACCCCTCATCTCTTATTTCAGAGGGACTACTGGAAAGAGTCAAAAATAAAAGTAGTTTAACATTCAGATCACCATCAGTATTAACCAAACCACAGATTCATAGGTCTGTCTCACACTAACCAACCACAAAAGCTGCCCCGGTGAGGTCTGGCTCCGGGGCATACAAAACATGTCCAAACACTCAGAAGCTAGTCGGTGTAGTCACAGACTCATGTACTTTGGAAAAAGTTCTCAGGATCCTAATGGCCCAAGCGGTTGCCCAGCCTTCCCCTTCTCCCCCATGCCCTCTTTAAAAAGGAAAAAGTATTGACAAGTTGACTCCCTTTAAGAGAATGTTAACTTCTGGTAAGACAAATGCAACAGAAGATGTTAGCATAGTATACTACACACATGGAGTAAATAAGGTACACTCCCAATAGCACATTTTCTGAAACAGTGGGTGTGTGCTTTGTAATGTTGTTGTTATGTGCCGTCGAGTCAGACCCGACTCACAGTGACCCCTCCTTGGGTTTCCGAGGCACTATCACTGTGGAAGTAGATTGTCCCATCTTCCTTCCGAGGAGTGGCTGGTGGATTTGAACCGCCAGCCTTCTGGTTAGCAGTCAAGTGACTTAGCCACTATGCTACCAGAGCTCCCATGCTTTGTAAAGGAAGCTCTAAATTCTGCTGAATTAGTGCTCCATTGCTTCCTCATAAAATTAAGTTAACATAAGATGAAAGCCTTACAGCAGTTTCTAGATGTACTGGACAAGTGTAAAAAAAAAAAAAAAAAAAAAAAAACCTCTAATGGAATGGTTTCGAAGTTGTAGATCTGAACTTTATGTAATATATCTGTAATTTGTCCATTCTTTTAACTTTCGAAATTTGGTTTTTCAGTTAAAGCAAGATACTGACTGGTATTGGTATTTTAAATTCTAAATGAGACCAAAAAAGTTAATTCCCAGCAGTCTACTCTTAATATTGGACATCATGAATTTTTAAGATAAACATAAATACTCATGAAGTACTTAATGTGTTCAAATGAAAAAGCATAATACAGAAAGCACAATAATATATGAAGAAAATTAAGACAAAAAAATTATAGCTGATATGGAAAACTTCAGATCTTTCAGACCCCTTATGAGACAGATCTTCTCCCTGACTCCTTTTTCTTCCCCCTTGAAATTTAGATAATAAAATTTGTAAAAACTTGCAGTAGGAATGCAAAAGGGAAGAACACACTTGGCATTTCTGAAGCTGAAAGAACTGGAGACAAAAAAATACATTGATAATTTAAAACAAAACAAAACTGGAGACAAAACTTCAAGCCTTGAGTTACAATACTGAAGGATTCCATGGACAATATATTGCATGATGCAGGAACCATCCAAAGAAGATCAAAGATCTTTGGTACAGAGTCACAGTACCAAAAAGAAGTGATGAATGTTCAACCATTTCAAGAGGCAGCATATGATCAAGAACCAGTGATACTGAAGGAAGGAGTCCAAGCTGCACTCAAGTCATGAGTGAAAAAAACAAGGCTCCAGGAATTTACGGAATATGCACCTAGAGGTTTCAAAAAACACATGCAATACTTAAAGTGCTCAGTCATCAATGCCAAGAAATTAGGAAGACAGCTACCTGGCCAACCAACTGGAAAAGATCCATATTTGTGACTACTCCAAAGATCCTACACAATGTGGAAATTATTGAACAATATCACTGATATCACACACTATGAAATTTTGCTGAAGATAATTAAAAAATGGTTACATTCATAGGAACTTCCAGAAAGTCAAGCCAAATTCAGAAGAGGACACAGATGAGAGATATCATTGCTGATGTCAGGTGGATCTTGGCTGAAAGCAGAGAATACCAGAAAGGTGTTTACCTGTGTTTTATTGACTATGCAAAAGCATTCAACTGTGTGGATCATAACAAATTAGGGATAACACAACAAAGAATGGAAATTCCAGAACACTTAATTGTGCTCATGTACACAGACCAAGAGGCAGTCATTTGAAAAAAACAAGAGGATACTCCATAGTTTAAAATCAAGAAAAGTGTATGTCAGAGTTGTATTCTTTCACCATACTTACTCAATCTGTATGCTAAGCAAATAATCTGGGAAGCTGGACTATATGAAGAAGCATGTGGCAACAGCCTCCTCTTTGCAGACAACACTTACTTGCTTGCTGAAAGTGAAGAGGACTTGAAGCATTAAATGATGAAGATCAAGGACTTCAGTCTTCAGTGGATTGTACTTCAACATAAAACAAAAATCCTCACAACTGGATACATGAAGAAAGACTGAAGTTGTCAAGGATTTCATTTACTTGGATTCACAATCAATGTCTCTGGAAGCAGCAGTCAAGAAATCAAACAATGTATTGCATTGGGCAAATCTGCTGCAAAAGAGCTCTTTAAAGTGTTGAAAAACAAAGATGTAACTTTGAGGACTAAAGTGCACCTGACCATAGCCATAGTATCTGCAATCACCTCATACACATGAAAGTGGGAGAATGAATATTGAAGAAGACAATGCATATGAAGATCAAAGAAACATGCATGTCTTTGAATTATGAGGGAGCTCTGGTGGCATAGTGCCTAAGGCACTTGACTGCTAACCAGAAGGCTGGAGGTTCAAACCCACCAGCCAGTTCTTGGAAGGAAGGTTGGGCAATCTACTTCTGTAGTGATACTGCCTCGGAAACCCAAGGAGGGGTCGCTATGAGTCGGATCTAACTCAACGGCAGTGAGTTTGGCTTTTTTGGTTTGAATTATGGTGTTGGCAAAAAATACTGAATATACCATGGACTGCCAGAAAAACAGAAAGAAGTCTGTCTTCGAAGAAGAAACACCAGCATACTCATTAGAAGCAAGGACAGTGAAATTTTCTCTCACATACTTTGGACAAGTTATTAGGAGGGAACAGTCTCTGGAGAAGGACATCATGCTCAGTAAAGTAGAGGGTCCATGAGAAAGTGGAAGACCTGCAAAGAGATGGACTGACACAGTGGCTGCAACAAAGGGCTCAAACATAGCAGTGACTGTGAGGAGGGGGCAGGACCGGGCGCTGTTTCATTCTGTTGTACACAGGCTTGCTATGAGTCAAGAGTGGCTCAACACCACCTAACAAGAACAACATAACTAATGGTCAACTAAACTGGCCTTTAAAGACTCCTTGTACATGTCCCAAAGCTATTAGTTACTCTAAGAAAACTACATAATCATCTCCTTTGATACGTAAAATGTGGGTGCAAATCTTCTCACTCTTTGCCAACTGTGTAAGGCAAATGGCAATCAGCATGTTGCTCACACTACAGGTCAGCAATGACAACTGTGTAATGACAGTAGCACCTGACACTCCTGAACTTGAAACCTTTCTAGTTCTATAGAAAACAGTCTGGGAAATATGTCTAAAAGTGGAAGGAAGGCAAAACCTGCTCAAGTTGGAGCAATACAGCTGCCTAACTTAGAATAATCAAAATCTCCTTCTCACCCAAAGCAAACCCCAGAAGGAAAACAGCCAGGCTGTGTGGTGCCTACAAACAGATGAGGAGAGAAGCTCTCGAGTATGGACGAGTCTATCGAGCAACAGCTGTCACCCTGGCCAGTACGTCAGGGCAGTGACCTGCTGTGATTACACAGCTGTTCGTATGACCTAGAAAAATCTCCTCAGAACATACGTCCCAAATAAGGGCATATCAACTAGTTCTTAGCACCAAGACTTACAAACTTGGCTGATTACCTGTCAGGCTCTTATCACTGTCAGAAAAAAAGTACTTCGAAGATAGAAAGTGTCTATTATCCTACAGGTTGGGAGCTCTGGTGGCATAGTGCCTAAGGCATTTGACTGCTAACTAGAAGGCTGATGGTTCAAACCCACCAACCACTCCCCAGAAGGAAGGTTGGGTAATCTATTTTGGTAGTGATACCGCCTCGGAAACCCAAGGAGGGGTTGAGTCAGACCTGACGCGACAGCAGTGGGTTTTATCCTACAGGTCTCTCGCTTGCAGCTTGCTGTATATACTATGTGCCTAATCATTTGCTACCTCTAAATGAAGGACAAAATACTTTCCAACAATTGTGACTGCCTTTGACCAAAGCACAGATATCCACTCGTCCTCTCAATATAATGCAACCACAAGATAGTCCAGCTCGTTGAGAAGATAACCCGATGAGATCTGCAGTGGCAGCCAGCTTGCTAATTAATTAGCACAGGAGAGGACGCCTGCACTGAACACATTAAATCTGTGCAGCACGTAACCCAGCCACCAGCAAACACAAAGTACTTACTGCCACAAACAGCATGCAGTACATGGAGAATGAAGAGTGGCCCGAGTAGAAGGACAACCTAGAAGAGAAAGGAAAAAGAAGAGAAGCATTCATTTTCTCTCCCAGAGGCCAAGATAGTTCTTAACTTCGTCAGTCTCCTCCTCACCTACTCTGTGCACGCAGTTCCCTCCCTAACCTTCAGATACTGGGGGGGGGGGGGGGGGGGGGGCCAGTTAAGAGTTGCTATAGAGCCAGTATGAGTCGAAATCAACTCGATGGCAATGTGTTTGGTTTTCTGGTTTGGATTTAGGACAAGGGACATTAAAGGATCAGGGAGAGTCTGAGTCAGATGTCTATGCACTATCTTTTTGTTGAAACTTTTTCAGGGTGGGTAATGAATCATTGCAAACACACTTGCCAAGCAAAAGATATGAGACAAATCATAAGTGGCATAAATGTCCTTGCCTTTATTACATATAAACTCATGCGACCATGATTGAAGTTTTATTTTCCACTTGCCGGGTCTGCCACCAAATAATAATGAAAAATACCTCCCTTGGAACACTCAAAATCGGATTACTTTTTTCCATCTATGGTTATATTTTAGTGTTTTAAATGGGCACACTTCCTGCCTCAATCTTCCCATCAGATTAAGTGCTTATGTTTGACATTCATTTTTAAATGATATCCTGACAACCCTGTACCAGATGAATCATCTTTTTCAATAAACATCTTCCCCACCTAAACATGCTTGGCAATGCTTGGAAAACTTACTTTTATAGCACTTCTGCAAGAGAAAAATAAAGTTCACTGACATTCATAATCTACATTCTGACACAGAATTAGCCACTGGTACAGAAAGGGCAAGCACATTTGCTATAATGGAAGTATACCAAGATGTATAATACAAATAATTCTAACGCTTCTCCTGACTACTCTCCCTAAAGAAAGAGTAAGAACAAGCAGGACAAGCTCTGAAGTATCTTATTACATCCAACACTGTCCAGAAGGAACTTTCTATAGTCTCACATGCATGCAAAAGGCTGGACAATGAATAAGGAAGACTGAAGAAGCACCAATGTCTTTGAATTACAGTGTTAGAGAAGAACATGGAATACACCACGGACCGTCAGAAGGAACAAATCTGTCTTGGAAGAAGTATAGCTGAAATGCTTAGAAGGGAGTATAGTGAGACTTCATCTCAGGTATTTGGACACGTTATCAGGAGAGACATGTTACTCGGAAAGGACCCCATGCTTGGTAAAGTAAAGGGTCAGCTAAAAAGAGGAAGCCCCTCAATGAGATGGATTTGACACAGTGGTTGCAACAATTGTGAGGATGACATAGGACCAGGCAGTATTTCGTTCTGTTGTACGCACAGGGTCTCTGAGTCAGAACCAATTCAACGGCACCTAACAACAGCCTTGTTCAGAAGGAAATTAACACAGATGTGAGTTTCTTGAATTCAAAGAGGATAAAGACTCCTATAAACAAGCAACAGAAAGTTGTATGTTTGACAACTGACAGTGGGGAAAATGGAGATTTCTTAAACATATTAATGATGATTCTACCAAAAGTTTTTACTGTCTCTTTTGTAATTAGATGCATTCCTTAGAAAGAGAATCTCCTAATGTCTTATGTCAACAAGAAATTATGTAATTAAACCTGACAGTTATCATTTACTGTGGGTTTAATCTGAGTAAAACAAGAAGGAAAAAAAAACATCAACTCACGCCTTACCAACTACTTGGCCCAACAGACTGAATCAATACAAATATTTTAAATCAGATAACTAGAGCAGCGGTCTGTACATTTACTGGTTAGTTTCAGTAAATCTTACTGAAGAGCCTACAAAAGCTAATAAAAGTCCATTTTAAGGATTGTCAAGTCCCACTGAGCCAATATAACCATGATCACAGAAATATTCTCAAAGTTGAGCAAGTTAAAAGACTCAGTAAATACTATGCATGCTGCCATAAAATCATAAATCTCAATTTAATGTAATAGACGTGACACCTGATTCATCCACAGGGTGATTTTCATTAGTTGAAACAGAATGGGTTCCATCGTTACTGTGAACACATAAATAGTTATTTTATCCAGAATACTATCAAAGAAGTCTGGCTATGACAAGAATTAAAAACATAAAGGGGTAACTACTGAATCTCAATTTCTATGTCTTCTTCAACAGTAATTTTTCAGCTAGATTCTGGTGACATGGAATTTCATTCCTATTAAAAAGAAAATTAACAGAATGAAGCACAAAAAATATGAAAGCAAATTACTGCCATATTCTTTACAAATCTTTTTATTGTATGCCTAGAGGATAAGATCAACAATATCTTATTAATATGTCCATAACCCAAGAATGAACTAAATAACTCTATGAGTAGTTTAATAAAATCCAGAGTGGTACACATGCAGATTTTTTTCATTATGTCCTCAATGGAAATGGTTACGACTTTTGCCCCAGCAGAAGAACCTTGCCCTGTTCTTAGATTTTAACCAACTCTAAACTAATTTCACTCCATTATAGCCCCTCTGATGAAGGCAGATAAGGAGCTCTGGTGGCACAGTGTCTAAAGCATTTGCCTGCTAACCAGAAGGCTGGTGGTTCAAACCCTCCAGCCACTCCGTGGAAGGAAGACTGGGTAATCTTCATTTCTGTAAAGATTTACCACTCAGAAACCCAAATGGGGGTTCTATGAGTCAGAATCGACTCGATGGCAGTCGGTTTGGTTTGGTTTTTTTTTTTTTTTTTTTTTTGATGAAGGGAGATGCAGTAACAATTTAAGCTAGTTTGCCATCAAAACTTAGGAAAATCTCTTCAGAAAGTTAAGTATATAGAGATAAAAATATATTCTGAAATACAACTATTTTAACTAACCATAGGGAATGGTCTATTGAACAATGAGCAGCCTTCAAGCAATCAGTAAGGAGTCTGGTCTTGACCACAAAACTTTCTGTGAATGGGATTTTATTCCAAATGACAAATCTAAGGTTTTTTCTTTACATTTGTTAGCCAGGGCACCCCCTTCTCCTGAGACAGCCTGAAGCCCAATATCATATAGCCTTTAAGACAGTTCACAGTCATCTACACCCCCCCCCAGTGTCCATGAGTTCCCATTCCTCAGTTCCTCATTCTTCAACCTCTGTACTTTGTCATCCACATCCAAGTCCAGCCTTATAAATTGCGAAAGCAACCAAACCCATCCCTCATTGGTCACCGGAAATAACCAGCTCATATTAACCATGTCTTGATTTTAAACAACATTTACTAAGAATTTGAGGTGCATAAAGTTCTTAAATCACAAAGAACCCCTTTCTCATCTCTGTTCCTCCCCCACCATCTAAAGTAGGTCTTTCCTTCTCTGCCTCCCCACCCCCAAAGTTAAAAAGCACAAAACAGTTACACTCACATCCAGGCCCCCCTAAGAGTCTTGTTTTCTACCCACAATTCTCCTTTGTTACTCAACTTTTTCTACCAGTTAACATCGCATGCTATACCTATTAAAAAATACTTCTTAATGAATCTTTTCTTATTTTGTAATTGAGAAAACAGAAAATGCTGAAGAGTTCTGTGACATAAAGAATAAACAGGCTGAGTCACCACAACTCCCCTTTTAAACCCAAGTCCTTTAATTTTAAAAGTATCAAGGTGGCACCATGGTTCAACAAGTGGTGCTAGCCATGAGACTAGCAGTGCAGCTCCACTGGGGAAAAACCACAGGTGACCTGCTCCTGTAAAGATGAATGCCTAGGAAACCCTCTGGGGCGCTTCTACTCTGTCCTACAGAGTTGCTATGACTCAGACTCGACTCAGGACACACAGCAACATGCCAGCATCTACGTACTTCCAAAATGAGGGAACGTGCACTACAATGTCAGTGGACATACTTTCTCTGGGTGACAGGATTATGGGTGATACTCATTTCATGTATGGACTTTCCGTCAATGTAATTTTTCTACAGTGAATATATAATTTTGCTGGATGTTATGTTAAATATCTTCTTTTAAAATCTAAGGCTCTCTCCCTTCCATCACCTGCTACCTACATCTACATGCCCCCGGACATAATGCTACATCAGATCACTATCACCTTATTACCTGAAGGTCAACACAATTCAAAGTAGTCAAATCATCCAAGTCTTGCCCAAACAACATGGCAAACCTATAGAGCCTATCAGAGGTTCCCAGTACACAAGATATGTCACATGGGATTGGTCACATTCCTTCCTTTGCGTTTCCAGGGCCACTTCAACAAAAGCGTTAACCTCAATGCAATGGCACTGAAACCAATCTAACCAGAAAAGTCACAGTTCAGAAAGTGCTTTATAAGTAATATTCTTCTAATACAGAGTACATACACACTAAGCTGGTTTGATTTTTAAAAATGAACTGATAAATTGAGGTTACATTCTTCGAAACTTAAGCCTTATATATCTCTAGTTGTATTTTTACAACTAGAATTTACTGAAATTCTATATTTACTGAATTTCAATATTCTGAAAATGATGAAATTAGTCTAAGAAAGTAGGAATTTTTTCCTGAAAGTTAGAACACGCTCTACTACTGTGCTGAAAACGAGGGAGACAGTGTCACTTGTTTAATGCCCATCGCCTAGCATGATGTCAAATTTAACACGTAATAATGTTAAACTGTAAGAATGCCTCATACAGAGAACATTAGTATTCTTCACTACTCAAAATGGCTGCCTTTAAAGATTTTTTTTTTTTTAAATGGTGAGGATGCTCTTTCCCTCAAATGGTAATAGCGAATGAAGTGGTACTTTCTGCTATTATTAGAGTGTATGCAACACTAAAATTACATGTTTTCTATTTTCCTCTCCAATTCTTCTTCCCTATTCTTCTTTTGGGGGGAGGTGCTTGCCATCACGGGAATTCTGGCTCATACTTCATGTGTCAGAGTAACTGTCCTCTATAAGGCTTTTTTAAAAAAAAAAAAAAAACTGTGGTGAAAACATACAAACTAAGACATTCACCAACATAACAACTTCTACATTTACAGCTCAGGGACATTGATTATGTTTCATTTTGTGCCACCTGTTTTGGTTACTTA